TAGTTAAATATTTCAAATTTAAATTTATATAATATTATGCTTTTTAACAATACAATAATTATGAATATTGTTACAAACAATAAGGTAATATGTAAAAAACAACTTAGCTATTTCAATATGCCGTGACTGAAATCACCCCATTTTATATTTCTATTATTATGAACCACTATAAAAGGCATTTGTATAGCAAGTGATCTACCAATTTACTAGAAGTGATCTACTACAAGATTTAGGTACCTATAATAATATGTACATCGTACATACCTATTGGCTATTAGGTTTAAAATATATTTCACCATTAATTATTAAGTTATTTTTTTATTTAGGATTATCAAATCAAATAAGAATTCATTCAAAAATACACAGTTTACCGCCATTGGTTACTGGTTAGTGCTACTATATGAAAATTATATTTCTATTATTATCAAAATCAGGCGTACCTACATTATCATAATAGTAATACATTATAGTTTTTGGCTTAAATTGAGAAGTATGTAATAAGTAATAACTATAATAATTAATAGGTAAATAATAAAGAAGTAGAAGCGCACTTGATCGACTTTACAATTACTACTATGAAAGAAATGCACATTTATAAAATTTTATAGAGCACCTGCTAGATAAACACCCTTCAAAAATGTTACCATAATATTTAAAAGCCCAGGACTATGATAAATCTATTCCAAATTAAATGATACAGTTAGATCAAAATATTCGTTATGCAGTAATGCAAAATATGAGTTAAGATCATAACATGTATTCAAACAAATTGAAACAAACTCAACTTAACCCCTAACTTAAAAAAATACAGTAAAATTTAAAAGTGGGACTAATAATATTTTAACGTGGTGGTAATAAATAGCTAACAACACCAATCAAACAGAAGAACTATTCAGTTGCAAAACACTAAAACAATATACTTTTAAATAAAAATATTTTTATGATACATAAATATCAGGACATACCTACCTAATATTATAACAAAGTAGTTATTTAAATAAAATATTTAATAATACCATGTATAATAATGAAGGTGAGTAATTTATAATTCTTTTTTTAATTTTTTAGAAACATACATTTTACCACCCATTTAAGTATCAATGATTGATTGATGTTGTTAGCTAAATTAACTTAATTGTATAATATTTGTTAAAATTAAAAAAAAAAAAAAAAAAAAAAAAAAAAAAAAAAACATTAGCATGTACTATTTTCATTTAACATATTTTTAGTATACTATATTATTGGGATTAAGTTTTTTCTGGAATGCAGATTGTCAGACTTGATTTTTAATCTTCTTTGAAATTAACTTGAGTAGTTGAGTATTTACTATCTAATAAATTAAAAAAGGATAAATATAACCAATTTATTTAACGGTAAAATAATATGTTTACATACTTAATTCATTTTGTAGTCTCTCCCAACTATTAAAATAGTAAATGGGAAACAAAATTTTCATTTGTCATTGTTCTCGTTTGGAAAATGTAATGGAAGATAGAAAATTATGTGATTTCAATATCTATCTCCAAATCATTTGGCCAAGTATATTTGTAGTAAATACAGATCAACTTAGTTCTTAACAATAATTACTATGGCAGAATGTAAAATTTGAATATATGCAACTTATAAGTACTTCTGAACAGAGAACATTATATTTTTAAGTATGTATATGATGTAGATAGGCAACCATCTTGTTGTGTCCAAGTAGATGGTAATAAGTAAATGAATAATATATGAAGTTATATTAGGTTTGTGCTATGGTGTATTGGTGTCGGCCAATAATTTTAAGAGTATAACAAATTTTGTGTTATCAAACTTTGAATAACATTTATTGGTGGTGTAACTGAATGAACAAAACTGATTTAACTGAAAATAAAATGTAAATAAAAACTGTTAAGACGTCATAATAATGTATAATAATGTATGTTGTATGTACAAATTAATGTATTAATCATAACAATTTTTCTACGTATACATTTTAAGAAAACTTACCAATAAACTTAATGTAGGTACAAATGTTGTGATTTCCAAGTTGTTGGTATTCATGTATTATCAAGTTTACATCACACTTCATAATATAAACTTAAATACATATATTTTTGATTGAAATATCAAATAAAATACATAAATATATCCCAAATTACGACTTAGGTATAATGTAATTTTAAGTTCAATGGAATATTTTTGACAAACTTAATGATACAACAACTACCTATTTTGTTAGGTATACCTATTATGCTATTAAAGAAATTTAAACTGTCTGTCTACTTATAACGGTTTACAACATAAACTAACTATACATATGTATAGTTCAATAATTAATTACATTATACATTTAATATTTAACTATTTAAGTAATAGTGCTATGCTGCATGACCACATGGTTTAGTATTTTACTTTACAAGTTTTAAAGTTCATTATAACTTATCAGTATTCAGTTTATTACAACCACGGACTAAGATAAACAGGACTGGAAACGATAGACGGGAGGAGTGCGGGTAGCCGGAACCATAGTGTAACGCTTGTAGTACATGGACAAATGTGGCTCTATCTATTGATAATATTTAGCATTTGTTACATAAATATTTATTTGTATATTATTTCTGTTTATAATAAAATTAGGTACAATAGTTTAATACATTTATACCACGGACTAAGATAAACTAAGATAACTCTATTGTGACTCTATCTTATTCCGTGATTTATACGCACCTATTAGCTCTTAGCAGTGGCGTATTTTCAAATTGTTTGTGGTGGGGGGGGGGGGTCTAAATATTAGGTACCTACAAGTTTATAATATAAAAAAAACACATACGAGTTATGATGTAATAATTATATTATATTATATTTTTTTCTGGGGGGTCGAGACCCGGGGACCCCCCGTAAATACGCCACTGGCTCTTAGGTATTAGCATTTAGTATTTAATGTACATTACATTTTACCAACTATATTATCCATTTATTATTCGCTAAAATGCCGAGAAAATGCTCTGTGGATGGCTGTACGGGATGTTCAGAGAGAAAAAAATACACTTTATTTAAAAGTTCAAAAGATGTGGTTAATTTAACTGCTTGGAATGAAGCAATTTCAAATGCCAATATCTTAATTCGTGCTGGACACTGATGTATTAATATTTCGTAGAACGGATCATAGATGGCGTTAAAATCGCACTTGTACCAGAAGCGTTACACTGTAGTTCCATAGATGACTATCTCGTTTCCAGTCCTGTTTATCTTAGTCCGTGATTACAACCGATTGATTTTTCTGTACCATTATCATTAATTAATTAATATGATATAATATTTTAATCAATTCTATTATCTTATAAGACCGTGGTCATAGATAATGATAAAGGTATCGCCAAATATCGGTAATAGACAATAGTAATACCTAATAAGATTATTATTGTTCTATGGTAATATGGAGGGGATCTGGTGCGACAGCCAATGTCAACAAAACGTAGCATTGGTCAAATTAGCATATAGGGGTAATGTACATTCAATTAATCAGGTTCAAAGTACAACAATTATCAATATGGTTAATGTTAGGTACCGTAGGTAGTTAGGTCGAACGGTATCGAATTTATAAGTTATAGCTTCTGGGCTTTACAAATGAAAATTTTCCAGCGGTACCTACCGACTTTCAAACACCAATACTTTGAGGAGCTGTATCTCCCAAACCAATTAACAAATAATAAAAATGTTAACGCGTAAATTCATAAAAAAAATGGTTTTATTAATTCATGATCTTTTTATTATATGTTACCATTTGAAAATCAAAAGTTGATAGTGGTTTCACCAATAAATATAAGGGTAAAAAAAATTAAAATAGTATAGAGTTTTAGAAAAGCATAAATCTAACAGTTTAAAAAAATAAAAAAAAAAAGTTAATACTTTTCAAGATAATTAGTGTCCCACTTAAATGGATCACCCTGTATAATCGTCATAATTGTAACGTGGTTCAGGTTCGGCTTTTAATCTAATCGGCACCTCCAATGTACGTCCATAAACTAATGCGTATGGTTGAAAATTAGTAGAAGTATGTACCGTTGAATTATATACAAAGAATGCAAAGGGTAGTAAATGATCCCAATTATTTAAATTCTTATCTACATAATGCCGTAAGTACTCGGCTAGAGTCCTATGAGCTCGTTCTACGGGGTTACCCTGCGGTCTGAATGGACTTGTGTTAACCTTTTCTATCTTTAATATTTTACAAACATTTGCAAACGTTTTCGAGAGGAAATTAGTTCCTTGATCCGTGAGTATTGTTTCTGGTATGCCGTGTACACAAACGAAGTGTGTAACAAAGGCTTCCGCAACAGTATTTGCCTTCTGGTCAGAAAGTGGAATTCCTAAAGTGTAACGTGTCAAATCGTCCTCCATCGTTAAAATGTATACATTATTGGACAGTGTAATCGGCAAGGGCCCTACTATATCCATAAATATTTTTTCGAATGGTTTAGACGAAGTGGATGTAATAGCCATTGGTTGTTTTATGTTCCGATTTGATACCTTATTAACCTGACATGACTTACAATTCCTTATATATTTTTCAACATCTTCTTTCATACCCTTCCACATAAATTGTTGTCTGATACGTTTAGGGCCGTTCTTACCAAGTGAGGGTTAATTTTTTTAACTGAACGGTTACCCTAACCTATAGGTTGGGTCAACTGGAGTATAAACCTATAACTTAAACTAATATCTTTCTCACAAACTTTTTAAACCTTCAGGTTTGGGCAACCTCTAGGATAACACCGAAATTATAGTATTGATGTTAGTAACTATGTTTGTTATCACTTTTTTTCGTTGTTATCATTTATTTATTTATTCATTTCGTGTTTTTCTTTGATAACCGAGGTTTAAAAACTGTAAAATATTTTTTTAACTTTAATTTTGACAATATTCTTCAAATTTATTGTAATTTAATTAAATAAAAATAGAATATTATATTGATTTTTATTGAAATTATATAAATATATATTAGTTAAATTAACATTATGGATAAAAGAACAAGAGGACCCAAGTATGGCGAAAGTCATCTTGTTGTTCTCTCTAACTTAGTCATCAAATATAAAGACATCATTGAAAATAAAAAAAGTGACCAAAGCATATGGAAAACTAAAGATGTCACATGGAACAAAATCCAAAGCGAGTTTAATGCTCTAACTGGAATTGTACGTCCTGCTAAGTAAGTTCTAATTTAAAATACTTACCTAAAATGTACAAAATCTTAGTTGTGTGTTTATTGGTTATACTTAACCAATCATAATTAATTTTTTTAATACAGTTTTAAATTATCAGATCATTAAAAGAGAGGTACGAAAAGTTAAAAAAGGATTCTAAAAAAGTATTGGCCTCAGAAAAGAGGGAAATTTTTAGTACTGGTGGTGGTATATGTAAAAAAATTCCCCGTTCTGAGGCAATAGACAAGATTATTTCTCTTCTTGGTATCTCTGGAGAGGGACTAAATTCCTAATATTCCAAATTCCTATTATGTTTTTGTTTTTATTAGGAGACAATTATTGTAAACGAGAATATTAATCCTAGCAATGTGGTAAATGAAAATATAATCATATTAAATTCCTCTGTCATTGAAACAAAAAACCAAACTGATGTGGCTCAAAATGAATTTTCTTCCAATATTATTTCCACTGAAGATTGGAAATCTTGGTCTCCAGCTCAACTAAAAACACCAGTTAGTTCAAAATTAAAACAGGTAAGATGTGTCGATGATAGTTCTCAACCTCAAAAAAAAAAAAAAGTATGAACATTTAAAAGATGAAGTAAGACAGAATACAATTGATTTGATCAAGATTAAAACTCAACTAGCTAAAGAAGAGCTTGCATATTTTTTTAAAAAAAGGAAAATGATGAAAATTTGTTTGAGCTAGCAATAGAAAAAAAGAAATTAGAAATACTCAAGTTAAAATCTGAAATCAAGTCTGATGATATAGTATAGTATAATGATAGTATATTGTTATTATTGTTCTTGATTAATTATCTAGCGAAACCACAGCCGCCTACTGTGAGTTTCGCGACCGTGGACGCACGGTATAGATCGCGTCCTCGGGTTGCGGATAGAGGGAAGCCCGGTTCCCTCGGTAGCTTCCGAGTCGGGTAGCCGGCGAATAACTAATAACCGGCCGCGGACAGCTTCGATTAAATGACCCGTAGTTCCGGACAGTATGTCCTCTGGGCCGGTTCACGGTCGCCGGCTGGGCCACCGACCCAGCCGGTGGTGCTCTTAATATGAGTTGAGAGCACGGGCGCCGGAGTTCGCTCCGTCCAACAGTCGGGCGTCTCAGCGTAAGCCGGGTTCGGGCATGTCTCCGGGACACTGCGGTGAGTGTTACGGGCTCGCGGCTGATGGCTCGTCTGCTTAGAGTCCCTAATTCGGTAGGCGAGGGTGGTCGTCGCAAATAGTCCCACCTTAGACTGAAAGGTAGGGCTGTCGTCAGCTTGGGCTGCGCGCCTCGGCTCGGCAGGCATCCGGGTCGGGATGCTTATTCTAAGTTCTCGCTGACAGGCGAAAACCTCTGATGAACGGCCGTCACGACCCGGGGGCGCGAGTCACCGGTTCGCTGTCGGTTCCTCTCGGGCGTCTAGCCGCTATACCGGTGTAGTATCATCGGAGGTTGAGTGTAACCAGAAACACTCGGTGTGGGGATAGCACACAGCCAGACCAGGCGAATTCAGGCGGCACTTGGCCAGTCTTCTTGGTACGGGACCTCGGTTCCGGTGCTCGTGGTCCGTAGACGACGCGCGGTCGGCGGACTGGGCCACCGTACGTCGACTGTGAACCTCCGCGGCTCTCGACTAGCGCACAGCGCTAATATGAGGTCCGCGGTTGTAGCCGCAAGGCGTCAAAACCGGGAGTCTTCGTGTTCTTGATTAATTTACTTATTTCACTATTAATATTAATTATGTTATGTATTTTCTAAAAATCTATTAATTTCTAATAATTTAATTAATTCGTTTTTAATTTTAAATAGTTATGTATACTTATATGTTATTGTTTAAACCTTGTTTTAAATACTATTTTGCATTATAATCCTATGATAAAATTAATTTACTTCATAAATTCATTATTAATATTAAATAAATTTTATTATTTAGTTTCTAAAAAAATATATGATAACAATAACTAAACCATAATTTCTAATGACAATTACTAGTTTTTAATTCATTAAATTCGTAATGTGATACAACATTAAGTACAAATTTATGTAGCTATATTTATTTATTTTTGTTTTAATTGCTTATTATTAATTTACGTTATGAAACATTCACTATTATTATTAATATTAAAATAAAATAATGAAAAATGTTATGTATAATTATAAAAATAACTTTTGTGATATAAATAAATGTATATTTATATTTATTTAAGGCCATTTTTCTTATCTTTAACAATAAAATGTTGAAAACGTTGTACTTCACAATCTGAAACACCAAACACATAACAAAATTAATATCTAAATTGGTATTGAGGACGCCACATCCGCATGTGTTGTCTCCGTCTTACAAACGTATAATATGGCAAATTTGCGTTCAGTATTGTGCCATTAGTTTTCATTTTACAGTAAATTCAAAAATTGACCTTGACCAACTATCAAATTTAAAGTTAAGAATATTATCTGTCTTTTCATGTCAGTTTTTTTGATAGTTTATGAGCATCTTTAACTTTAAATTGGATAATAAATCAATTTACTGTAAAATGAAAACGGGTGTAACTTAAAAGCATTTCCTCAGTACTTACCTTTCAAAATAATCAATGATTGCAATTCTTACTGGATTGTTATTTTGATTAAAATTATTATTTTGGTTTTCTAGATTAAAATTATCATTTACTTCTTCTAAAGCTTGATTAATTGCTGAATACCTTCTTCAAATTCTAATTCTTCTTCATTGAAATCACGTGCTATATTATGTAATACAGCACAAGCCACAATAATTCCTTGTGTTAATTCTAGAGATGATTTTATCCCAAGTGAAATAATAGGAAATCGTCTTTTTAACACACCAAAAAGTCTTTCAACTGTATTTCTTGTCCTAATCAGTGATTCATTGTACAATTGTTCTCCTTCAGTTCTAGGTTCATTTAAAATTGTCATCATATAATTGCTTACTCCATACCCACTATCTCCAAGCAATAATGCGTCTCCAAACATATTGTCTTCAAATTGGGCTCTGATTCGGGAGTTCGAAAATATGTTACTGTCGTGTGCTGAGCCCGGCCATCGAGCAACTATATTTTTAATTTTTAGATCAGCTCCAGCTACAATTTGTACGTTGATAGAAAAGTATCCTTTTCGGTTTCGAAAAATTTCTGCATTATCTCCCCCTGGAGATAAAATTTTTACATGTGTGCAGTCAATTACACCAATAACTCTGGGAAATTTAGCGATTGAAAAAAAATTAAGTTTAGCTTGATTAATTTCTTCTTGGGTAGAAGGCATGCGTATAATATCTTTCCTCATCTTAGCTATCTCATGAGTAACTCTGGGTATAATTCTTCCAGCAGTTGCCGTGCTAACACCCACAAAATCTCCTACTGCTTGATAAATTGTCCCCAATGCATAAAATCTTAGTGTCAAGAGTACTTGATTTTCAGGTGATACCGCATTATTCCTGAAATACCAATTGCAATGTACAAGTTGAAAGCATCACCACAATTTTTTCTATTAAAATCATAATGAATATTTACCGATCTGTTCGATGTGCAATTTTGTCTCGGATTTGGTCTATAATGTGAACCACTGCATTTTTGGATAATCGAAATCGTTTTTTAAACTCCTCGTTGTTCATAGTAAGTAAATAATTTCGTCTTTCTTTAAATACACGTGGGCGTCTAACTTGGGGTTCAAACTCATTGTCAGAACTATCAGTTGAAGTAATAAGGTCAACAATTTTTTCTATTAAAATCATAATAAATATTTACCGATCTGTACGATGTTGATGATGCTGCTGATGGATTTGTTGGTACTGCGACGTGACTTATTTGTTTTTGTTGGTTCCTCCTGGAGTTGTCTTCGCAGAAGAGTGATAAATTCTTCGTTGTTGACAGTAGCCTTTGACGGTTGCCTCCTTTGTATAATCCTACTTCGACTGCGCCAGTGTTACATCCAGCCCTTCAGGGATCCAAAAGCTGATGTACTTTGATAAACAATAATAGTCAAATTAGTATAGTAATCAAATGTATTTTATTAAACCAGACAAAATAAGCAGAACAGTCGTGTTGATTGTAGTGAATTGTAGCTCGTTCCAGAATTGATAATCTCCGTGTAATTATGTGTGATGGCTTGGCGGCTAAGCGAGTCGTGTGTTGTTCTCATCTCTGGATACATCTACTCAGGCTGTCTCGCTGTCCCCTATATATATGGTGGCGGCGTCCTTTGAAGTGAGCGGCGCGTGCACAGTCGTCCTTGATATGGACCTCACGACTAAAAGTGGTATTCTAGTCGTAAACACTTTTGGGTGTGGTCGCATTCCTGGTTGTTTTTATGAGCAAATACATGATATTACGTAATCCCATTACATTATAAAGCTATATTACAACGATACATTTTTATTATTCTATTTTATTTTAAAAAAGAAGTTTAGATGTTAAATTTAATAAATAACAATATAAAAATAGTACTTACATAGCTTGTAGAAATTTAAGTATTTTTCTAAGTATGATGGCTTGTTGAAGAGGTCTGGTAATCTGCTGGCTGACTGTTGGTTGGCGAAGAAGGCTGTTCTGCTGCTGACTGCTCTTGGAATTGCTGTGGACTGCTGTTGCTTGAACTGATGACGATAAGCTAAGAAATTCTGTGTTTTATACCCGAAAATAGCCCCTCTCTGTTCACATCAGAAACTTTTTTAGAATGGATTTAAACATTTTAATATATTACATAATATCCTGTTTTCATATTAGAATGGCATTGGTATGTATATAAATTATTTTAAATCCTGTTTGTAATAATTTATATTCATATAGGTAGTGTAATTATAATATGAAAGCAATTTATGATAGCAACAATTTAAATTCATATAATGTAATTTCCTGTTGTACCTCTATGTACATGTTTCGACCGGTTTCTGTAAGGTAAGGTTATTGCTGTGGAAATTTGCATTTTAAATTATTGAAGTAGTGGCAAAATCTGTGTATAAAATACAGAGGGAATTCACTAATATTCACCAGTCTTCAAGATTTCATTCCAGGACAAGCAGCTCAGTTCAACAGAGATACTACCAAAAAAGATGTCGTACCGTACAATTGCTTCAACTGATTCAGAGGTTAGTAACTACTTAGTAAATATCTTATAACCAAAGCTAATTGGAGGCCAGTCGTAACACTACTCAACGCTATGGTTATAATTCTTAAAATAATATTAAATGCCTGATTATAGCATAGTTTAAAAAACTATATAGTAACTAAAGCATATTGGAGGTCAGTCGTGACATTACTCAACGCTTTGGTTATAATTCTTG